GGCAGCACAGATAATAAAGCATTTTTATGATGCCATAAAAATGTCTGTTTAAGACAGTTTTTCTGTGCTTTTTCAGGCTCACTGCAGAATATTAAACCCAAATTTTGATGGTGCATTAGCTTTACAAACATAGCTGTTTGTTTCATTGACTTTTACATGTATAAATCAACACTTTCCATCTCTGATAACGGATATTTTGCTTGAGCTTTTTGCCTGCTACACAGAAAATCCCTTACTCAATTATTTAGTCACCGTGTGTTTTACTTTAACTTTTTTTTACTTTAAGTTTAAAAACCAACAGCACTTTGCATAACTGCAAATATTTTCCTTTCCTATCGCCGCTTGCTGTAATGTTCAATGACCTTTCAAAGCACAACACTTGACTTGGTCCATGGAGAGTATCATGAGCTTCTGTATTTACACATGTGTAGACAACACTTCTTGAATGCTGAAAACTGCAGTGAGAACAAATTAAACATTCAACATGATGTACGACCTCGTAACGCACATCTCGACTTCCTAGAATCAAAACTTCTGTTTACGTGTCCTCTCCCTCCTCAATATTCTGTTTTAATCTCTTAATGCTTCTAGACGAACGTGTCCATAAGTTAGACCATCTTACCTCTGCTAAAGTTACTCTAGATGTTACAGGCACTCCAGATAGCTTTAGCCCCTAGGTTTGATAGCAGGCCTGTTAGCGATAGCACTACAATAACCTCGTCCGCCAATGATGCAGAGTTTATCCCTGTTCTGCGACGTGGGAAGGCTCCCTAGAAAAAGAAACTGATTATGGTCTGCAGTCACCCGTCTGCAAACTGTTTTTTTAATGCCGGCCTTGTTGGTAGTCCTGTTGGTGGTTCTTTCTCTTCCGCAAAAATCAGATTAGCATTGCCAGCCACATAATACTGAAGGTGCTGGCTCTGCATAGGAAGAGTCAGGGAACACAGACAAAACTCCACTTTAGCAACATCGTCATCCTTGTTGGCACCAATACCGTAGACGTCTCTTACCCATGAAGGACAATGATGACATTTTGATGTTTTTGTAATAAAAAGCGTTTAGGGTTGACCTGCTGAGAAGGGCACCACTATTTTTTTCCAGGAATATAGACAGATGTTTAGTTTGACATTACGGTTATAAACAAATTCAGTGGATTTTAAACTGGTTTAAAATGGTAAACTCATTATTATCAAGATTCAGCGATGTACACAAAGGGCTTTCTCACCACAGAATACTTAACCTCATTTTCAACACTTTGGTTGCTTCGTTAGTCCCCTGGTTAACAGGATACAAAGAGCCTATGCTCAGTCAGCACAGAGTGGCGTGTAACGCCATTTCATCCCACACCACGATGAGCCCAGTGTCCCTCAAGGCTGTTCTTTAACAAATCCCATTCATTTAATATGAGGCAGCCAATAGCACAGGATTAGATTCAGTATGAGTGTTTGATCTGGAAAAATATGGTGGAATTACACCATGAAAAGAAAGAAAGAAGAGAAACTTGGAGACGAGAAGCAGATAGAAGGATGACAGATTAGGCAGCCGGTGGATTTAAGGGAGGTGACTCTTTTTAAAAAGCTAGTGACGAGTATCCTGCTGAGGCCGAGGATCGTACAGGGGACAGATACGGTTAGATGGCAATTGACTGCCTTGTGTTGTACCACATTGGCGTTCAAGAGGCTATCAAAACATTATGCCGGAGAGAGTCATAACAATGACCAGAGCAGTAATAAAAGATATAAAGTCAGGGAGACGGGGTACGAGAGAGAAAAAAATCCAGTAAGGGAGAGACAGAGAAGAGTGAGAAAGAAGGAATAGAGAAAAAAAAGATGGGAGACACAGGGAGGGAGAGGCAGAAAAATCAATAGACTTCTATATGCAGCATCGAGAATGTGCCCTCTCGCTGCTCCAGACAGCCTATCCAAGGACTCCAACAGCCAGCAGACAAACTGAACATCTATCCACAGACCCATACTGATAATATGCCACCCCAGCCTGTCCCTGTCTCCATTTATCTCCTTCATTCCCCCTCCATCCCCAAATGCACACACACACTTCAACCTACTGGCTCTTCTCCTCCAAATTTAACACTCTAATTTGGTTGAGGGCTGCCTGCCATGTTATTGATGCTGCCAGAGGTCTGATCCATCTTGAGCCTAGGACAAGGCTTTAGTCAAGATGGCTATAACTCAGAGGCATCCTGTTCCCTGTTTGCCAGAGTATCAGACTGGCATTGGTAATTTAAAGGCTGGACAGACAGCCTGACATTACTGTATCCGCCCGACTTGCTTCGTCACCCCAAACGGCCGGATGCCAGGCCTTTTAACCATTCATTTCCATGCTTTTCGGGACTAGAAACACATTTGTAACTTTTTTGTGGTGTTACAAACTTCCATAAATGCTGTCTTTAGGATTATACAATATGGAAATGAAGATATGAGTAATTGAAAAAAGAAATAAAATGCAACGTGTTTACTTTCTCACAGTGTTCACAAGGAAGGATTAAGACATATTCAGTTGTGTGTGTTTGTGTGTGTTTGTATGTGATGGTGCGACATGTGGGATGGATTATCCTGAGGTTTACTCCTGAGCAAGCTTGGCATGCCGGTGTTTCTTCACATATATTTAGTTTTTATGTGTGTGTATGTCCACCCATCTGTGTGGGTTTAGCTGGAGGCCAGAGCGATGGGGAATTGGAAAGCTGGATGTGGCATTATACCAGCGTCTTATCACTCTGATATATGGCCAAATAGGACACAGAGGGGCTGAGACTGTTCTGATAACAAACAATGAATGAAGATGGGAAGGAAGTAAAGAAACGTAAAGAAATAAAGAAGGAAAGTAGGAATGAGGGGAGAAAAAAAAAGATGAGGTGGAACAATGCGCTCTCTGGAGGCCCACTGGACTGAGTTAGTGTAGTTTCTGATCATTGATTAAAGCGGTTTATGTACTCCCACCTACAGCATTATAGATACACCCCTCTCTTCCTCTCTTTTTCTTCCCCCATTCTTCTCTCCTAGAGCTGTCCATCCTTCTGCCCTTTCCCTCCTCTCTGTCTCGATCTCACTGCTTTAACAGGCAAACAACCATTGCCGTAATTTTCTCTGTACTATAACTGACAACTACAAAAGGTCACGCGGAGGGAGGGGTCTCATGCTCCTAATCACTCAACAAGAGCAGGGCCACTCAGTCCATTCAAATGTCACTGTATCAGAAAAACTGATAAAGACAAAAAAGTGCTCCTTGTACTCCTGTACTCTTTTTTAATTTCCTCATGCAATAAACAGCCTACTATTCAGTCAAGTGTCCTTAAAATGCAATTACAAAAGTCAAAAAATTTATTTTCTGACTGAAATCTGAATTACGCGATCACTAAATAAAAAGTTTTATGCTCACACTCCACTGTAAGCATGCAATACAGCACTCTACCCCAAGCAAACAAGATGGACCTGTGTTGAGCCTTTGCACTGTTATTGGTTTTCTGCTGCAAAATCTCCTGAAACCACAGTTTTATCAGAATATCTGCCTCCTGCTGTTATTAAAAGGAATAAAGAAAGTCCCCCACTTCTCAATCTCCTGTAAACCAGAAAACATCACTTGACCAAAAGATGGCTCCCCCGCGAAAGACATATTACTAAGACAACAGTCAGTATTGGTAGAAAACGCTTGTAAATGACCAACCAAGTGGTGATACTTTACCAGGAGAAGATCTTTGACGTAAATCAAGTGGGTACAGCTATTTAAAAAAAACATGTTGTAATTGGAAGTAATTTCACAGTACATGACAAAATTCCATCTGTCAAACACATTGAAAAATGTACGTCACTTCTTCTGGCCTAATGAAATTTCTGTCGGATTGACTGAGGTGCATGTGTTCTTTAGTTATTAGTGGCATAAAAGGTTTCATGTAAATGCAGCTACTGAAATCCTACCAGTTCTGACCCGTCCATGTGGTGACTTATGAAGAACATTTTTAGAAACGCACGCATTTTTTTTTAGGGGGACTAAAGATCTGCTTCATGATTTAAAAAAATTTCGAAAATACCAGATGCACTGAGCTGAGGATGAATGACTGGCATTAGTTAAGCAGAAACTGACAACAAATATTGCAGATCTATCTCTACAGATGCATTAAACATTAAGTAAACACATTTTGGCTGTTAAGATTACACATTTAGACAAAAGGAGACGAGTGGCCCTAAGTATTCAGCGTTTGTTATGTTCATCTACTCTGTGGTTTTCTGCCACAGTAGCAGGTCCATTAACTATCAAAAGAAATCAATGCGAGCATGCTGAGACAAACAGCACAGACACTGCTATTATTGTGAACGACAAGTTCAGAGATGGAGTGTGAGAGAGGAAAGTTGAGCCGAGTGAAGTGAACATGGGCAAACTTTAAAATGAGAAAGGAGAAGAGACCGCAGTCAATTACAAGTCCCATCTTGTAGTTTGTGTTTACATTGATTTGTTGGGGACTAGGATCTCTGCCTCTCCCCAGTTCACCTAATTGCACTCACTCTGACCCGCTAATTACTTCACTAAGACCTAGTTGGTCTCACCTCAGTGCACTGCCTCACTGTCTGGAGCTGTCGCTCTACACCAATGTGGGAGGAAGGGGGAAGAAAGGAAGAGGATGCGAAGGCAAAAAAGAAAGAACAAGTCTGGATTAAGAATGCATGATGTATGTCAGAGTAGGAGAGAGACTGGAGATGTAGAATGAAACAACAAGAGACAGACACAGTAAGGAAATAAAAGTGTACATATGAGGTGGTTTGCAGATGCTGTGAACTCAGGTGGAGGGCATGCAGCAGTGTTAACATACTGCTGTTACTGTACTGTATGTCACCTCAGGACAATGATGATGTGACTGATGTGTCTGGCTCTTACTGAGCTGCATACATAATTAAATAAATCGCTACTGATTAGATAATCACTCATAATTATGAAGATAATAATGACAGTGCAGTTCATTCATCGGGAACACCAGGGAGCTTACGTACCTGATGGGATGAGCCCAAAGGCCCAGTTGGGTACGAGAATCCCGAAAGGGTTGTTTGTGTCTTTGTTGTCTTTGTTGTCTTTGTTGTCTGTCGTCACTGAGGCTTTGTGTTCCTCTGACTTTGGACTCATGCCTTTGAAAGGTGTCCACCGACTTCCAACCACAAAGGACACTGCAGATCTGGATTCCATTTCTGTGGCGCCAATGTTGGAGCCTGACGAGGAAGTAGTCAACTGAATGACACCTGTAGTCGTTTGAGATCCCTCACTGGGTGCCGGAGTAGCTGAGAGGTGGCCCTGCAGGTCGGATGTGCCAGCTGTTTTCTCCCTCTCTTCCTGAACCCATGATATAGAGATAGGCGGCTCCTCAGTGGTGGCGCTGTTTGAGGTCTTTTCTGTGCTGGTTGCTGCGGTGGTAGGATCCGTCCTCTGTGTGTCTCTGGTTGTCAGAAGCTCCACTGTGGTCACCTCAGAGGTTGTCAGTACCTCCATTAGGGTTTCTGGTGTGAAAGTCACCACCTCCTTACTGCTTGTGCCTTTGCCGTGATTCCTAAAAACTGGAGTGGAATCTGAATTTGAACTACCCTCTCCTCTTCGTGAAGAAGCAGAGGAGAGGTTTTCAGTAGGCCGGCGGACGTAGAGGATCTCTCCCCTGGCCTCCTCTGCTGTGTCTGGTTCCAGGGGGCCCTGAGGTGGGGTGGTGGGCTGTTCCACGAGCTGCCATTGGGACAGAGTGGTGTGCTCTGCCACAGTCACAAGCTCAGTCTGGCTTTGGCTGAGTGAAGATTCTGTTTCAGGACTCAGTTTGACACCACTGCTGTCCACGTTGCTGGCTTTCAATCCAAACCCACCAGGAAAGTTGCTCCCTTCAGTGCTCCCCTCTATCTCCCTCTCCTCCCCTGATGCAGATCTGCCAGCTGATGGTGTGTTAGCCTCTTCTCCGTCCTGGTCCCTTCCCTGGCCTGAGTAGTTTTCTGGGTTGTCCTGTCGAAGGGAGGTGGGCAGGGTCATCACTTCGAGTGGCCCCGCTTTGGCTTCCATAGGCTCCCACGTGGGACGTTTACCCACGTAGGCCACATTTCCAGGGGGGCCTAGTTTGGAGCCACGCATGGACTTAATGGCCCACCGAAAGTGGCTGCTGGGTGCGGGAGCAAAGGCAGAGCCTCCTCTGGGACCCTGAGGACCGGATATGCTGACACGTTCAATGGGCGGTGATCTCGCGTTTGGAGCTGACGCAGTGAATTCTAAAGGGAATAAAGAGACAGAATATACTAATTAATATGATTCCATTATGGGGGTGGGGTGGGTGGGGGTGGATTTAATTTTATGGATGTGTAATTAGCAATTAAAACTGAAGCCTGGATTACATGAGCCCCATATAACTCTTACAGGGAGCACAGTTTCAAGATTTTAATGAAAACATGAGCATTCCACGATCAGTAGTGTGAGCACTGCCCAAACGTGTTCACTGGTATGTGTTTGTGTCATGTGTGGATTTATTTTTATTGTATATGTTATTTTTTCTGTCCACAAACAAACCAATTTCTATTTTGCATAGTAAACTTACTCGACTCAACTCTGTGTAGAAAGTGTGCTTCTTTCCTGGCCAGTTGAGCTTATCAGTATGGCTACTAAAGTTGGCGGAGTTTGTAGACAAAGATGGGAGCCATAGCTCGTGAAAGCCCATAAACACACATGCACACAGAGACACAAATGCACCAAAAGGATGGAAGGATGTATTCAAAGTAATTTCACACTTCTCTTCTCTGTCCCTGTTTTCTTATTCCCCGTGGCTTCTTTTACCCCAAACAACCTCCTGCAGGGACACACTTGCCTGTGGTGAGAGAAGCCAAGTGGAAAAGCACAGGAGCACTTGCAACATGATAAGCAAATGACTTGGTCCACAACAAGCTCCATCTAGACCTGTTTATTTAGATGAAGTGGTCCACTGTACCTTATCAGCTTACGGCTTTAAACCAGACACTGTCCACACCATTAATAATTCATTCTGTCTGCATGTTTGACTCACGGCTGGTGTGTGTGTGTGTTGTTTTTATGGCGGTGGTTCTAGTTGTGTTACTGAGCGGCCCGGCTAATGTTGCTACCATCATCGCTCAGCTCGGTTTGCCTGTCCTCAGTTCAGTTAACATGTCTGAAAAGTATAGCAATACAGCAGGGGGTGTGCAACACAACCCAGCACAACAAATTACCGCGAGGGGGAAAACATACACAAATATGTCCATGCATAAAATATTAAAATGTATGTAAATTATTCAGGAGGTCCGCTGTTGCCTTATGCCCAAGTGAGGTTTATGAGCCTGAGGTTCATTTCCATAAGAGCCATGTAGACCGGCATAATTGTCCTATTAATAATCCAAATAGCTAATTACATACCTTTACTACACACACTGATGAAAGTGAAAATAATTAAACACATTAATCTGGTTTGAGCATCTATGTAATGACCCATGTAATAAATAAAATGAGACAATTAGACATAGGTTTGGATGATTTCTTGTTGCTGTTTAGAGCACGCTGAAAGTTCAGGTCTGACACTGTAAATCTGTTTGTGGAAAAGCCAAAACTCGACACTGAAATGCTGCAAATAAACCCCCGTTCAGACGGTAATTGTGTGCTTCCACCGTGAGTGGTTCTGCTGTATTGACTCCACTTTACTGGAGTAAACGGGCTGAGAGAATCCCTCGGGTCAGGCAGACATGATATTAAATTGTGAGAACGGAGGCTGACAATGAGAGAGAGAGAGAGATGAGGAGAGAGAGGAGAACGACGACGTGGAGGGAGAGATGGTACCAATGCCACCGTCTGCCCATTCTGAGATATCTGGCATGCTAATAACGGAGGACTGAGGCAGAAGTTATTGGATGGCCATGTGAATCATGTCAGGAGTGTCAGCGCACAGACCCTACTGTCTTCTATCACAGAAATTCAGTCTGTGCGGTTGACGAGACCGGTGCGAAGCAGACATGCATTTCCTTGACAGACAGTTGGAGCTTGAATGTAGAGCTTATTCAAATTCTGCATGACTGTATTGGAGGCTGGATTGCTCCACTGGGAGCTTAACAAAAAAATAATGAATTCAATAAAATGTTCAAAATATTTTGATTTGCATTGGAAATAATTGAAGTTATCGCTCTACATTCTGAGATTTCTTTCAAATTTTAAATAATTTGATTCAATACTTGAATCATATCGTTCTTGCGAATGTACTGTCTACCGAGCAAAGCTTTGCATCCCCCTCAATCAAAGAGGCAACATGGCACCATCAGTTACTAAGAACTGTTGAGATCCAAGGGATAGCCTGCGGTGTGCAATAACGGAGTTAATTCAGCTCACTGATGCTAGTTTAAGAAGAGACATCAGTTGGGCAGCTTTCCATCAC